AAAAATAAAATTAAGGGACTATTCTGTTGCCACCAATCTCATAATTCCTTGGTTTTGTTTTGACTATTTAAAACTTGTCTTAAGATATAAATATTATTTAATAATGTATAATATATATATATATATATATATATATATATATATATATATATATACCTTCTTTTGCAGTATTAATGGTCATATGGAGTACTAGTTAATTCTAGAAATAGACCATCTAGTTTCTTGTACATGATTTCAGGCTTGATTCTGAAACTGTTAACTAGGAATTAAACTTATATACCACAGTTGTGTTTAATAGACTATGGTCCATAAACCTCTCTAGGATCTGCTGCATATTACATTTAAAGTGTTTAAGTTTTCTTCAGTGAGCCATTTCCTTCCTATTAGCCACCTTTGATGTCTCCAAAATGATGATGGGACTCCACAATGACAATTTTACCTGGATTGTGATAATGTCATTAAGCTGATAAACACCATCCAAAAATGAACATTCAATTACAAATTACTCAAAACAATTTCAAAGTGATTGATTACATGAGACTGTTCACCTACATGGACTACACTACCCAGGAATTCAGATAAGCGCTGCACTTTCCCAACACACAGAAAAGGTAAAATAGCTAGGTCTCCCAGGAATTGACCATTATCTTAAAATTTTCAGTGTCCTTTAAAATACGTTCACCCCCAGACAACAGGAAGTAATTTTAAGAACATTACATCCACATTCCCAAGAAGTGGAATGGGTAGATTTTGTCATTCCATGAATTACAGATGATTATCATTGCTTAGGGTGTATTGTTTTCAAGTTTTTATTGGTCATATTCAGAAAGGAAACTAAGTAAAGGTGATTAGATTCAGGAATATAATTCTGAAAAGAAAAAAAAGGATATAGTGATATAAAGATAAAAGGGTAGATTATTCAATATACTTTCAAACTAAAAAAAGCAACTAATAGTCTTAAATGTTTTATATTTGTGTGGATTTTTATATTTGATACAAATTTATGGTTATTTTTGTTATACTGCATATATGTTTCCACCCTCATTTAAGGTATTTTTGTGTATTGATACAAATTAAAAGGTTATTTTTGCTATACTGTATATATAATATATAATATATATATTTTCTACTCTTATTTAAGATAGTTTTGTATATTGACACAAATTTATGTTTATTTTTGTTTTAATATACTATATATGTTTCTACACTTGTAGTGTACCTATGTAGCTCATTTTAAAATGTAATGTAAAGTTCTAGTCTTTAAAGGCTACTATTACAAACTTTTAAAAATAATTATGAAATGTACTTTAGCAGTTAGTTATATATAACAATAAAGTCTGTGGCCATTTTAGGTATATTTTCAAGGTCAAACAGATATATTTCAGATAGGTAGATGGCTTTGAAACACTTCAGAGACATACAAAATATGGCATTTAAGATGTTTTAAATACATGTCTTTTCATGACAGTGAGGTATGTCTACTTCTGTCACAACCAATTTACTTCAAAATAAGATGATGAGTATAGAAGAATCTCCATATGGAGTTTGGTTTCATTGTGACAAACTTATTAAATGGGAAAGAACTTACCCTTGTCTTGATTGCTTACAGTTTGCTGTCCAAATTGGACAAGCATGATAGGACAGAAGGTGACAGCCAAACATTGCCAATACAAGATAGGACAGGTCCTCAAAATTCTGGCTTCACCAAAAAGTCTGTCAGATATTCTAGGTCTCTAGGGCAAAGATAGATGTTTCAGTGTTCAAGAGGGAACTTGAATGACTGTCCAGGCATCCAAATGTCACTGTCTTTTCTATAATGTTGGAACTTGTTGGCTCCACACTTTCTGTTTATTAAGGTAATATTATACCCTTCTTAGGTCTTTAATGAGGTTGAAGACAGTTTCCCTTGTTAGTAAATTCAGAAAGGAAACTCACAAAAAAGTATAAAGTGTATAAGTTTGAGAGCCATAAAAGCTTAAATTGTTTATCTAAAATATTGAGGTTGAAAATGATAATTTTGGAATGATAATACAAGTTAGGATAGAAAGTGAATTAGGTACAAAATTTTATACAATGTTTGCTCCATTTTCTGTCCTGTCTTTGAAATAAGATAGGATTTCACTTTTTTTAAACTCCATTATCTACCATAACTTATCCAAAAGATGACACAGATAATGGATTATTTTCTTTGAATTTGCCAGATGTAAATGGACTGGACATTGAAAATATAATTCTTACCCAATAATTGTTTTATTGTATATAGTTTTACTGAGTTGGAGCTAAAACCTTTCATTTGTATGTAAACAAAATGGGAACATGTTGTGGGATATTTAGATCACACTCAGACACTCCCAAGACTGCCAATAAAGTTTACTTTGAATCAGAGGGCAGAGCTAGATACTAGCTGACCAAAATTAGCCATTGGTATTTGGGGAAACTGAGCACATACAGAAAGACACAGGAAGCAGTATAGAAGGGTTTAAAGATTTTGGCCCTTTTGGATTGAGGAAAATAGAGAGAGGGTCACTGGTTGCTTTTCCATCATTTCTCTGATCTATCAATTTCTTAACCTGATATCTGACTCTGAGTTTTTATTGGTAAACAATAAATACTTCAAATATGTAAATGTTGAACTAGTGGTTTGAATGAGCAGTGACTTTCTTACAATTTAATGATTTGTGTTAATGTTGATTCTACTTGACAGTACTTAAATTTACCTTCCTCATATCTTTAAATTAAAAAAAAACAACTAAAACAATTTTGCTAGAGCTTTTCCTTATTATCAGCAATCATTAGATTAAAAAAATACTTATTGAATAAATAATTTTTTTTACCAAATATGCTTTTGTTAATTCTATTATTTTTTATTTATAAAAATTAGAGCATTTTGATACTACAAATACTGACTATAGGGCCAGTTACATAGCTCATTAAACAAGTAGGACTACCACCAAGTCTGAAGACCTGACATCTATACCTCAAATTAATTTAGTAATAAGAGAGAATAAATTCTCTCTTTATTTTTTACCTCTTGATATGCATCAATATATGCATATGTGTGCTCACAAACATATATACACATATAACAAATAAATCAATATAAATAAAAACACTGTCTAGAGTTTATAAAGATCCTTCCTAATCATTTATTTTTACTGCACCTAGCGTAAAAAAAATAAATTATTTATTTTATTCTCATCATGTATGACAAAAGCTTGAAGTGACTTATTTCTAGTGTTTTGATTACAATCCTTATAACCTGAAAGTTATTGCACAAAGAAATCTCTTTTTAAAATTATAATTTTTCTCTTGAACTGACTTGATTTATTTTTCACAGTGGCTTTGCAGAGTGTCATAACAAGCCTCTTCATGTTTCTAACATGGAAAATCTTGGCATTTTCTGTCTGCCAAAACCAGTCATTATAATATTTCTGTTATCTTTTTCCATTTATTTAATCAAAAATTCAAAATCTAAGACCAAAGGCATCTGCCTTGCTTTAATATATAATTAACATATTGATAAAAAAAAGAACACATATGCTAAATTGGTTCTCCAATCTAAAATGCCAAATATTAACTAAAAGTAGTGAGTTATAAGACAGGCATATTCTTTGAGTCTTAACAAATGTTAAGAAAATCACAAACATTATTGTTAATTATCTATAAAATAAATGATATGGAAGATACAATATTTTTATATGCAATTTTAATCTTTCATGTGCTACACTATGTTCATTGACTAAATAAAATTATTTTGGCAAGTTATATATATATATATATATATATATATATATAAATTTTATCTTTAATTAATACAATTGATCAGATAATGATTAATTCACAATTTAATGGGCAAAAGCAAGCAACAAACAGGTACAATTAGATCTATTTTTATAATAAGAAAAGACATAATCTGCCTATTTCTGAATGATAAGAAAGCAGGGGAACAAAGAACTGGTCACTGGTGATTAATATATGGCTGTCTGAAAGCAGGAACTGTGAGCACAATTTCTAGATAAGTTCATGTTCTTGGTACATACGGATAACCAATAAATGTTCATTGAGTGTTTCACATTCTACAACATAATCAGATTGAAACAATATTCATATCAAATGTGCTTTGCCACTAATGTACAAAAATAGTTCTATTTCATTCAAAAATAGGATAAGGTAGAGACATTTGTATTCAGCTTTTACATATTATCTACAAATGTATAAATAGTCTAATCTGTTAAAGTTAAAAAGAAATGACCTATAATTTCACTCCGTGGCTTAACTCTTTGCACATTTGTGAAACAAAGTTAAAATATTACTTTAGTAAATGGCAAATTTAGGAGGCAATATCTAGTCAGTAGCATTATAACAATCTTTTCATATGAACATGATTTTTGAATGTACATTTTCTTTTCATTAAACATGCCATTTAAGAATAAAATGGAGAATATATGCTAAAAGTTATAAAACATCTCTTAATTTTTATTGTCAATATAGATATTTCACTATCAAAAACCATAATGACACATTGCTGTATAATAAATACATTTTAATTTCAAAGTTGTTTTCCATTATTCTGTGTGTTTTATTAATCTTTGTTTTTTTATTAAGCCTATAATTGTTTTTTTCTGTTTTTTTTTTTTTTTTTTGAGATAGGGTTTCTTTGTGTAATTTTCATGCCTGTCCTGGATCTTACTCTATAGATGAGACTGACCTTGATCTCACAGAGATCCACCTGGCTATGCCTCCTTAGTTGTAAGATTAAAGGTGTGTGCCAATGCCACCCGCCATAATTGTTAAATAAGAAAAAAACAGAATTTACTAGTGGAAGCTTGAATTATAGTGAACAGCTACTAACTTAAAATAAATGACCTACATATGTAAAGTTATGTACTTTTTTTTATTTTAATTTCTACAACATTTAACATATATAAATCTCTAATATCAAAATTACATAGTTGTTCACACATAGCAGTTAACTGTGGGACTGGTTTATCAGGACTTACATGCTTCTGTAGCTGTGACACTCAGGTTGTACCAAGCACTGACCTCCCTGTCAAGGAGGTTAGTGGTAATTATTGTTCCATTGTCACTGATATGGAACATTTTGCTTCCAGTGAGTGAATATCTGCACCAAAAGAAAAAGAGATATAAAACAGATATTAGGAACCTTTTCAATCTACTAATCCTTCATTTGGGGTAGACATATTGATGATGAATTTAATTTACTATTATTGAAAAGTAGATGGCATACAAATTATTTCACGGAAAAGTCTGAAAATGTTGTCTCAAATATACAACAAAAGAAAACTTTAAGGCACTCATATTTTCTCTGCTTGAGATTGATTAATAATAAAAATGACGAGTAATATCTGGGGCTTAGATGGCATCTTATTGCAAACAGATTCGTGAACACTTTCCAGAAACATACATGAGATTTGTTATTATTATGTTGCAGAGATGAGTTTATTTTAAACTTGAGTTGACATTTTTCAAAAAATAGTATACTAATAGGAGGCTTGGTGTTCAAGAGAAGTTTAAAACAGGAAGTAGAGAGAATGGCACTTTAGAAGAGTTAATTTTATATTCATTTACTGAGAAATATTTAGATACATTTACTTAAACATCTACAAGTGGTACATTTTTGATTAAATAAATTTTCAAAAAATAAATCAGCACTTTAGTGTTTTATTTTATTTAACATCAAATTCTGTTTCTATAAAATACCATTCTAGACAAAGACTATTAAAAGCTTAGTGAGAAATGATTTTTTTCATAAATTAATGAGTCTGCTAGTAATTAGGAACTAAAGCCAATATCAAATAAATTCATCAACATTCCATAGATTAAATTAGAAATAAAAACAGATGTAGGACTATGCTGTTTTGTAAACTGGATGCCATAGGGTCCACCTCCATTTTTCATGACCTCACTAGCACTAAGTGGTCGGCTATGTTTCTGTTTTCCTCTTGTTGAGTAGGGCTTAAGTTCTATTAGAGAGCTTTGGTTACCACCAAGATATGTGTGCCACTCCTTCACCATTATCATTATTCTGCCATGTTGTTTGTTGTTGTGGTAGCCACAGAAAAGTATAGTCCTTACCCCTCATAAGGGAAACTTCTCTTTGCAACAGATATAGAACATTACAGAAAATCACAACCAATCACAGAGCCCTATCCCAGTGCATATTGCTACAAAACACTCCCACACCTCATGGAATCTTGCTGATGAAGGAGCAGAAATATTATAGGAGTCAAAGGGTCAGAAAAAAGTTTTGTGAGATTGTTTTTGCCAGTAATGTCAGAAGCTACAGTCTTGAAATCTCATCTTCCTGACTATGGAAACATGAGCTCACCAGGGACAACATCAGTTTATATGCCAAAGCAGATGTGAAAATCCTAAGGAGATTTCAACCCTACATAAAAAATTGCAGGTAACTAAAGAATCCTGAGGATGGGTGAAATAATCTTATGCAGGGAGGAACACAGAAAGTGATATCAAATATCAAATAGTCAACTGTGAAAACATGTATACAAGTATACATGTACACAATATGTATAGATATACATATGTATATACATATATTCATGTGACAACAATTAATAAAAACAGAGATCATGGATTTGAAAGAGAAAAAAGAAGTTATATATGAATGGAAAAATAGTATAATTATATTACAATCACAAAAATAATATAAGAATAAAGCCATTCAAATTAAGCTAGATAACAAGGAGAACCCTAAGAGGGATGCAAGGATCACCATGGGAAAAGGAAATAGATGAGATCTCCTGAGTAAACTTGGGGCAAGGCAGGGCAATAGAGGGTAGGGGATGGGGCATGAGAACATAAGAGAACAGGATGGTCAAGCTGGAACAGGGACAGAGTGGGAGAGCAATGAATGAGGTATTGTGATACAGGTAGACATCAGACATCATGGAGATAAGAAGAAACCTTGTATTAGGAAAGTTTCCAGGAATCCAGAAGAATGACCCCAGCTTAGACTACTAGCAATAGTGGAAAGGGTGCCTGCACTGGCCTACCCAGGTCAAGATTGATGAATACTCTAAATGTCATCATAGAGCCTTCTTCCAGTAAACGATGGAAGCAAAGGCAGAGGTCCACAGTCAAGCTGAGCTCCAGTAAGTCAGTCGTAGAGAGGGAGAAGAGGAATTCTATGAGCTAGTGGCATCAAGGTCATGATGTGTAAATCTACAGAGACAACCAAACCAAGCTAGTGGGAACTCATGAGCATTAGACCAACAGCTGTGGAGTCTGCATGGGAGTGGACTAAGCCCTCTGCATAAGAGAAACAGTTGTGTAGCTTGTTCTGTTTAAGAGGCACCTGGATGTGGGAGCAGGATCTAACCTTGATGCATAAGATGGCTTTTGGAGTCTATTACCTATGGTGGGACACCTTGCACACCCTTGATGCAGGGGGAGAGGCTTGGGCCTGCCTCAACTCAATGTACCAGGCTTTGCTGACTCCCCATGAGAGATCTTACCTTTGTGGAAGAGGGGATGGTTGGCTGAGTTGAGGGGAAGGCAGGTGGGGAGCAGGAGGAGGGATGAGAGTGGGATTTGTGGTTAGTATGTAAAATGAATGAAAATTTGCTTAATAAAGAAAAATGAGAAAAAATTAGGTAAGCACAGATACACAGTGCTTACTCTCTCCATTGTTTCCCCAGAAATCCTTGTCTTCATGCATTTATGCCAATTGTTTTCTAGTCCATAATCAGAAGATATTTATTCTTAGCCTGGAGTTGAGTTGAAAATTTCAATATGTTTTTCCTTTTATGTTAGCTTATAGTATTTCTTAGAAAAGATTACACACAGCAATCCTGGACATCCTAGATTGCTGAATCTCAACTTTCTGTTCATGAGCCCTCTGGTAGTCAGCCTTTCATAAGGGTCACACAACAGATATCCTGAATATCTGCAATTTATGTTACAATTTGTAGGATTACAAAAATTACTGATATGAAGTATCAACAAAAATAATTTTATGGTTGAGAGTCAGCACAACATTAGGAACTATATTAAAGGGTCATAGCTTAAAGAAGGTTAAGAACCACTGGCTTAGAACTCATACTGCTGCCCAAGGTCATTATAAAACCCACAGCAATCTTCTTGTCTCAGATGTCTAGCCACTGATGTTACATGCATAGGCCATCAGGCTTGACTGTTATCTTGTTTTATAAATAGGAAACAAAGTCATAAAATTAATCAATAGTAAGACATTGTGTTCTTTTGACATTCATTATTAACTTCGAAGTAACAAATATAATTGGTAATTTCTCACGGATCAATGAATTTATATTTTGAAACAATGTTCACTCTAAAGAGCTGTTACAAGATAATCTTCATGTAGAATCATCTGAAAATCTTTAAATCCAGTTTTGTTTCAATGCTTGAGAAATCTATCTAATTTCTTTAAGGAAACCATAATTACAAGAAGATGTCACCAGTTTCTCCAGGATGTTTATGTTCATTTTCATGATCCAGCCTAAAGTTCTTCACTGCATTTCACTGTTGTGTTTCCTTACTTGCCACCATACTTTTTCAACGTCTTTTATTTTAATTACTTTTTTATGTGGGAAAAAAACAAACTTTTATATCAACTATTTTTAACTTTTACAATTTTTTGCATGATTAATTTTACTCATTTCATGCTGTTTTAACTACATCTTGAGTCTCTCCTCTTATAAGTAATGTTTTTACATATTGAAGTTCATTAAAATACTAGTTGTTTGTTTCAATAAAATGTCTTGTGTCTTTTTTGTCATTTTCTCAAGATCAAAAAATAATTGTTATACATTTTGGTCAAGAATAACCCAAACATGGTGTTTCATTTTCACAGTATCATATCAATGGTACATGGTACTGACCCTGTCTTTCCAATGGTGATTGTATGTATACTTGAGTACTTGATTAGGCCAGTGTCTGCTAATTTCTTCATTAGAAGATTCTTTTCCTCTATTTTTTTTTAAAGAACTCTTGAAAATAATTTGAAACCATCTGATTTCTTCTCAATCACCCAGCAGTTTTTCAACAAGTCTGTAAAGGCAGAGGTGTTTGATATGCCCAGAGGAATTAATGATGATTTCTATTCTTTTAATCATATGTATCCAAATGACCACATTACTATAAATAATGACATGGCTCTTTATATATATTGGTTTCATTTCATAAATAAGTTTTTACAATGATCATCCATGGATATCTATTTTCCTGTGGAACATTTCCACGTGAATATTGAAAGATAATCATGCAAAGAAGACATTGAAGATTAATTATAATGAAGGTGCCAAGCCAACACCATAGTCCTCCCCTAAGACTCCTGCATTATCTCTGTTCTCTCTTTTTTAGCTTTATACATTAGTTTATTGACAAAGACATTTATTTTATTATCATTATTTAAAAGTATGTGTGAGTTTGTATGTGTGTGTTTGTGCACACATGCCTACATTAACTTGAGCATGCACAACCTGCGAGTAGAAGTCAGAGGACAACTTTCATGACTTAGGTCTTTTCTTCTGCCATCAAAATACCATGCACATAACTTAATCAAATCATCTTCAGCATGGCAAAAAACAATTTGTTCCCCATCACTGGTCATCTTACTGCCTCACAGTATATATATTTCTTTAACCTTAATGTACAGGTAGAGTAACATTACAATTACAGACCAAAAACCATGTTAGGGAAACAACCATGGAAAAATTTAGTTTGTAGAATGCATTACTCAGATGCAAATGTTCTCTGTCTGAAAGGGACTCATATACTCAATGCTGTCTAAGTATCAGTAGAATGATGGTTTCTTTCTTTTGAGATCATAAATGAAGTATGCTATAAAATTCTTCATATGTTTTTGTGTCAAAGCTAGTATGTATATATATATATAATGTATATTTCAGATATACATACATACATACACACATACACACACACACACACATATTGTTTTCTGATGAAACAAAATACAGTAATCTGGGATACAGGAACATAATCTCATCTAAAAATGTACTCTCCTGGGGTACATCTATTGCTCTGAAGCCTATCATAGAGATAAGACCTTGCTTTTTTTGACTCCTGGTGCCCTGATAATCATAACTTGCTGTGGTTTTTAGAAACATCACTTCAATATCTAAGTATACCTGCACTTGATACTGTTCTCCCTGTGTGTTCCTCGTGGTTTTTACATAATACAAACTATATCAGATCAAGGTATACTTTTGTCTTTTGCTTGCCTGTACCTCTAGAGTAACTATGTTCCAACAATATTCTGTTCAAAAAAAATTGTGCAATGGCTCAACATGTCTTTTGAGACAATTCTCAGCACAGATTATGTTTTAACTACTCTTGGGCAATTGTCTTCTCAGGAATATTTTAGGTGGTTGTAGTGGGTAGCCATTCCAGCTTTGATCTGGAAGTTCCAACCCCCATTGAGACTCTGGCAACTGTCACGCCTATCACGCGGGGCCAGGGGAGACACCTGGAGACCCGAGATCTGGATGGGCCAGCGCTCTCTCTGTTCTGGGACCCTTGATGGTGGAGGTAGACTGAGCAGAGCTCCAGAGAACACCACTGGACTTTGATACACTTTTCCCAGACCCCACAACCTACCTTTCCCTATTTTGTAAGTTACCCACTAAATAAATCTTCCTTTTAACTACGTGGAGTGGGCTTAATAATTTCACCAATAGGTGGTTGGATTAGAGCAAGAATCTGCTGTGGGATAATGCTTTTGTACACTGGTTTAATAAAACACTGATTGGCCAGTAGCCAGGCAGGAAGTATAAGTGGGATTAGCAGACAAGAGAAATCTGGGAAGAGGAAGGCTGAGTCAGGAGACACCAGCCTGCTCTCCAGAGAGCAGCATGTAATGGCACACAGGTAAAGCCATGGAACATATGGCAACATATAGATTAGCAGAAATGTGTTTAGTTTAAATGTAAGAGCTAGTCAGTAGGAATCCTGAACTAATGGCCAAGGAATTTTAATTAATAGAAGCCTCTGTGTGTTTACTTGGAGGATGCGAGCCTGAGAGATTTGTCCCAACTGCCCGCAGGCTGGGACACAGGACAACTTCAGCTACAAGGATCTGCTAATTCCTTCCAGTAAGCTCCATTACAATCACAAGTTATTATCTCAATCTTAAATTATGTGTTCAGAAATTAAAAACACATTATTTGCTTCTCATTTGTTATGTATTATTTATTTTACTTGACTATTGTGCAGGACAGAATTTCTAACACTAGGTTTTCTTGGAATACTCAAAGAAAACATACTCATCTTCTTCCCAGTTAAGGGAAACAATGTCATTAAATCTGCATTTGAAAGGCAACATCCTAAGAAAAGCTATAAAAAAGAAAGAAAATAATATCTGTATGTATGAACACCACACAAGAACTTCTGGGTATAAAAAGATCCGTCAAAATTAGATGAGTTCTCAGGCTCCAAATTAATATGTGCAAGATTATGTAGTTGCCTGGATATGGCCTAGGAAAAGTTAGCTGGCAGGGGAAATTGGTGAAAGTAAATATATAAACTATTGAGTTTTATGTTCATCTAAGTTATATCTTGTTTTGGGGAAAAACAATAGCAAAATAACAACTAAAACTAGGCTTTTTTTTAAAAAAGGACATATTTGTTTCTCTATGCAAAGATGAAAATTTATCTCACCAATTTTAATATCACTTCTGTCTTTCATATTCCTAGGAAACTAATTTTTAAAAGTATTTTTACTTTAATAGTATTCATATGAGTTATATATTGATCAGCATTATTTAGGCTCTGAAATGGTATATTCAAGAGTATCTTTCCCCACATATCTATTGCTCAGCTAAGATAGCAGAGGGGACAGCAAGATGGCTAAGTTGGTCAAAGCTTCTGTCTCAAAGACTGAAAATCTGAGTTCAATCTCTAGGAAAAACATGAGCAAAGGAAAGAACCAACTCACAGGTGCTTTTCTCTGAGTTTACCACACACCTAACTTGACCAAGCACAAATTTATTCACACATAGTTGTGTCATGCACACACACACACACACACACACACACACACACACACACACACACACACACACCAGCAAACATTTGTATCTCAGAGCCAGGAAGATGGATCAGTGGAACAGCACATACTGTTCAATCATAAGGACCATGTGAAAATCTTGGGTTGTCATCTTATGAGCCTGTAATCGTAATATTGATTGTGGATTGTGGATGACAGATGTACTTATGATGCTTGCTGGCTTCCAACATAGTCCCATGTTCAGTGAAAGACACTGTTTCATAGGAACAATTCAGAAGATAATAAAATAGTACCAAAACATGGTGTCCTCTGACCTCCACATATGCACATATCACACACCCTTTTGCACACACACACACACACATACACACACACACACACACACAAGTGTACTGAGCTGAATTTTAGGTGAGGATTGTCTATTCTTGAATATTTTTCACCTTAACTGTTTCAATGCATTTGGAACACAGAATATTTAAACTTGTTTATTATTTTTATTTTATTTTTTGACAGGTCCGTTAAATAATGAATAAGATCCAAGATACAAAAGTCTTGTTTTGTATTTTGAATGGACATTATTTCATGCCAACCTCTTCAGTCATGTATTAACATAAGTAAATCTAAAAACCTACCTTATAGGAGACTGTCTTCGATCTGTGTCTATAGCAGATACTGTTCCTACCATTGATCCATATGGCATTTCTTCAGGAATTCCAAATATATAATATGGTAATAGGAAAACAGGAGGTTCATCTTCATCTTCCACTTGAACTTTAATGTAGGTTGAGGAGGCATTTTCATGGGCTGGCGCAAGTTCCTCATCAACATGGCAGTTTTTAACTTTAGCTCTAATGCCATAATGGCTCTGGTTCTCAAAATCAATTTTCTACAAATAAATGCAGTGTGTCCAGAAGAAATAATTTCAGTTAACCCAGATTAATTTAGAAAACCCTAACTTACTTATTTCTTAATTCTTTTCCTCCACGTTTCATTTTATTGTATGAAAATTAGTTGGTTACAGCCATTAATCAGGTATGAAAATTAGAATTTTTTCAGACCACTACCAAAAGCTTATTTGAAATAACTATACTTTAATTTAGAAATATAATTTTATATTTATAGTCTTAGTTTACAAAGTTGAGAATTACTATCTTATTAGTTCTAAATTAGTTTTCATTTGAAATAATTTTGAGGACACATGTAAATTAAGAAGTCCTTTAAAAATCTACATTGCTTATCTCTAAATTATTTGTATTTCCAAGCTACATATCATGATTTCTCAGTTCAATTATTAGTGAAACAAACAATAATAAATGATTACAAATAATATGTGTATTTTACTAGATTTTGCACTATTCTTTAAAGAAAATGATTTAAATATTTGTACCTTTCTTAGTATAATTATACCTTCTTGAGTCTCATTATCAGTGATGATGCCAAATGTTTGTGAATCATCCTCTTCAATGCTGTAGTCCATTTCTGCATTCTCTCCTATGTCATCATCATAGGCCATAATTTTTCCTATAGATGTACCACTGGGTGCAGACTCAGATACAGTGAAGCGGTAGAAACCTTTGCAAGCAAAATTTAAGTTATTTATGATAAACTTTTATCATATGAAGCTTCCAGCTTTATCATATTTTCATTGTGCTCCTAGGCAAACCCATGTCTTTCATGCTAGCCACATTCTCTGTATTTTAATATGTCTTTTATCTCTCTTAGATATGTACATATATGTTCAATATCTTCCCCTTTAATTAGAAATTTAAGAATTTTTTAACATCTATTTAATTATCAGAATTTTCTCCAAAATGCATCCTACTGTTATGCCTACTTTAAATTTATATTTACGCATTTCTTCTCAACACTATTAATTTTTATTATATCCTAATGTCAAACCTAATTAAGTTTGTTAAAAATAATTTTTTAATTTTGCATGAACAATTTTTGATATCTGATGTTACAAATAAATTTTAAGTATAAAATTAGACTGAACACAAATGATTGAGCTTTAAATATAATAGTATAATTCTGATACTTTGATCTTGAATTGCAAAACCATAATAGAAACAGAAATTTTAATCCACAAAAGATGGAAAGTTAATATAGTAATAGTTTAACAGTATTGGAGATGATAATCATCTTATTGAATGGTCATAAAAATTATGGCAGATGACTTAGAAAAAATCTGATGTAACTATAAAATACATGTATGTGTTTCTTTACTTTTTGAGAAATGACATGAATAAATGTCATAAAGAAAGATACTGTTATTGTAGTAGTATTTATGATGTGCACTGAGAGATAGGAATGGTCTTTTATGTTAATATTCTAAGAACAGTAATTTGGAAAATGAAAAAAATTATATAGAATGAAATTAAATAAAAATTATATAGAATGAAATTAAATAAAGCTTCATATAATAGATGTTTGTTCTATTATGAGTTTCCTCAAATCATTTCACAAATGTTTTTTTGGAAATTTTGTATTGTTTTAAACATAAAAATTACTAGTTAAATATTCCTGATATTATATCACTTTATTTTTAGAGAAAAGTAACCATTTGTATACAGGTGCTTCTTTCATTTAAAAAAAAAACCTGCGATATTTAAAATTAAAATAATGACTTGCTATCATACATTTAAAAGAAGTTTGTGGGGACTGAAAAATAGATCAAAGGTTAATTGCTCTGACTGCTCTTTCAGCTCCTATATCAGGGTGTCCACAAATATCTGTAATCCAAGTTCCAGGGGATTCTGGAACACATCCAAAAGGCATACTCAGGCACATACATTGCTGTGGGATAATGCTTTTGTATACTGGTTTAATACAATGCTGATTGGCCAGTAGCCAGGCAGAAAGTATAGGTGGGATAAGCAGACAAGGAGAATTCTGGGAAGAAGAAAGCTGATTCAGGAGATGCCAGCCTGCCATACAGGGAGCAGCATGCAATGGCACACAGGTAAAGTCATAGAACCATGTTGCAACATATAGATTAACAAGAATGGACTGAGTTTAAGTGTAAGAGCTAGTCAGTAGGAATCCTAAGCTAATGGATGAGCAAGCAGTTGTAATTAATATAAGCCTCTGTCTGTTTACTTGGGGGATGCTAGTGGGAGAGATTTGTCTCAACTACTGGCAGGCTGGGACACAGAACAACTTCCAACTACAATTGGCACCCAAATTCGGGTAAGAGTTTCCACTTAAAACCTGAGAAAAGCCTTTAAAAAAAGATTCTAAACTGGAGCTAAAAAACAGCTTCCTAGTGTGTCTCTCAGGTCAGCCACAGCCTGCAGGCTTGAGCTACTATGTGACTGACGGGTTCATGGTGTACAGGCTTGACCTGCAGCATGGCAGATTCCTGCCACAGAGCACAGAGGTGCCTCCAAGCACAGCGTGGCGCATGGTGGATTTGGCCTTTTCTATTACAGACAAAAAAAAAAAAAAAAAAAAGATTTCTGAGATACACCCTGCTTTAATGGAGGCATAAGCCCAGTGCTTCCAAGAGTTGGTGGTACACATGGCTCCCAGAGTCAGAGCTTATGGTAAACCTACCACTGCCATGTTGGAAAACTGAGGTGGGGAGAGCAAGCAGCCAAAGCTGCCATTTCAGTCACAGTAAATATGCAGGTTAAATTGTTATTGGTCATAGTCAATATCTTTCTAAAAGAAGGAAGGGGGAATATGATATGAAAATATAGGACATAGATATGATAGGTTAAAATTGTGGATTGTCAACCTACTTTCAAAGAACAACTTGTTTTACATTGCTATGGATTTTAGTTTATTGATATAAATTTAGAGTTGATTTTGTTATACTATATATACATTTCTACTCATATTTAAGGTATGTTTATGTAACTCATTTAAATTGTAATGGATAATTAAGAAATACTGATTAATAATTAGTCTTCTATGATAGTCAAACATATAGTCATGTTAAGTCTTGTTGGTATACATAGATATAATTCAGTTAGGTAGGTAGTCTTCAAACACTTCAAAACCTACATATTATGGCATTTAGGTTTTTTTTTTTAACTTAGACTTTCTGAAAAGTAAGACACATCTCTTGGCAGTACTGATTTACTGCAAAGAGAAAGATGGGCATTGAAGACATTCCATATGAAGTTTATCTTTTTCTTGGCAAAAATAGCCATTTGGGCAAGAAACTGTTCTTGCCGGGGCTGCTTAACAAAATATTGTATGAACTGGACATGCAGGGCCCATAGAAAACTGACCACTGAACTTTGCAAGGTGAGATGATCCTTCATGTTCCTGCTTCACATAAGAAACTGCCAGACATTATACAGGACACACAGAGAAGTGACTGAGAGACTCTAGGAGGCGTATAGGATGAAGAATGGATGCCCCAATGCTGCAGAAGAACTTTGGGTAACTACCCAGGTAGCATGCTGTCTCTGTCACTCTAGATTTTTGGAAGTTGCTTACAACGCATTTCTTATTTACTTGGGTAATATATACTCCGGGGTCTTTGAAGTAGTTGAGGCTGATAGTTATAATTATAATTTTCCTTGGATATGCTAAAAGATAAATTAGATATGACACCTTAGACTCACAAACATAGGATGGATAGAATATTTTCTTTAATTTTGACAAATACAAATAGACCAAATATTGTAACTGCAATTCTTGCTTGATAACTGTTTGTTATATGTAATTTTATTATGTTAAAGTTAAAACCTTCCTTTTTAATTAAACAGAAATGGGGAAATGCTATGGAATAATGCTTTTGTATACTGGTTTAATAAAATGCTGATTGGCCAGTGCCAGGCAGGAAGTATAGATGGGATAAGCAGACAATGAGAATTCTGGGAAGAGGAAGGTTAAGTCAGGAGACACCAGCCTGCTGTTCAGGGAGCAGCATGTAACGGCACACAAGGAAAAGCCATAGGAAACGTGGTGACATATAAATTAACACAAATGCACAGAGTTTAAGTGTAAGAGCTAGTCAGTAGTAAGCCTGAGCTAGTTGCTGAGCAGTTTTAATTAATAAAAGCCTCTGTGTGTTTACTTGGGGGATGTGAGTAGGAGAGATTTGTCCCAACTGCCAGCGGGGCAGGACACAAAAAAACTTCCAACTACAATACATCTAATAAAAATCAATCTTTAAAATTAAATGGAATTTCTTTTGGCTTAAATATTATAGAGTTTATATTAAGCTAATGTTTTTCAAAATAGAGACAATGAAATATTTTCTTCTACCAGCACTTTTTCTTTACAATTTGCTTTATATTTAAAAAAATGTCATTTCAGTATAGATTCCTTACAAAGTCCTTTCCTTGAATCGTGTAATAATATGAATGTATTCAGGTGCTTTCCTTAGTTTATGGCCTTGAACTCAAAGCATATATAATAACCATGATACATGTAAGTGCTAAGGTATTGTTATAGTGTTATAGTGTTTTACATTTTTCACAATGTAGGGTGTATTCATAGTTGATAAATTTTTTTTAAATCAGTTGAAGTAAGTGATATCTGAGGAAAGAAAATACTAGGAAGATCAAAAGGGCAAAGTCTTGAGTGTTCCTAAGAACAGAAGAGAGGTAAAATGGTAGAGTCTGAATCATGTGCTCATGGACAGGGCAGTAATGACAGATCATTTTTGAGCATTACATGAAATCAGTTTATACCAAGGATTTGATGCTTTCATGAGGGAGATGAAACACTATGGTGAGAATATCTGTTATACATCTAGCAATTTCACTAAGGCTGCTTTGAATAGGGAAAAGTAGATCAAAGACATTTGCAGAAAAATTAGATGAGAACCCCTTGTGATGAGAGGAGAAATGAAGGGATTGACATGAACCAAAGAGAGAAGTGAAGCTGTGGGAAGTACTTGAGCACTTCAAAGGTAGAATCAGGAGAAATTTCAGACTATTCAAGTTTTTTTTCTAAGAAATAGAAGATAAAAATAAATGGTTGAAGATCTTTAGAAGATTATTTTCCATTATCAGGTGATAAAGGCATGAGATGTGTACATAGTTACACGTGTGTGGTGGGAATTTGTGGTATTTATCTGCATGTTTGTGTATGAAGCATATATATCGTGTAAATATTTGTGTGTGTGTGTGGTGGGTGTGAGTATATATGTGTCTGTGTTTATTTGTAGTACATGTGTGTGTTTGTGTGTATCCATGTATGTGTATGTGAGAGAGTGTGTGATGTGGTGTGATTTGTGTGTGTATGTGTGCATACATGTATTCTAATTTGCTCACAGACTATGAAAAATTAGAAATTTGTTGTAACAAACATCAATTCAAGCAAATTAAGAAATTATATTAGAAATGGGTTTGTCATAGTTTAGTATTAGGTAGATGAGTAATTTTTCATATACTGTCATTTATGATTTAAAAACATAAGATTTCTTTCTGGGCAATGGGAAATTTGAATTTGTTATTAACTGAGAAGGGAAAAATATCAAAGAATAAGAAATTTGAAGTTTATGTAAGACTATAGCATGAATTTTTAAAAAATACCATATCATAAAAGTATGGAATATATACAAAGGAAGAAGTTTCATTATAATCTAATAGCACCAGTGTTATATATTCTTTGTTTTTCAATTGGTGATCCTATGTCATTATGTAGTACATAATATTGTTCTATTAAACTAGAAGATTAACTGCGTATGGAATAGATGAGTATTGTGTGAGTAGAGTTATGTCTATAATCTTTAGAGATGGAAATTTTGCATATACTTAAACATTAAAATTCAATGTAACTATCAACCTAATTGTTTCCTAATGAAACAATGAAAGATGTCAAAGTTGAAAGTTCAGCACATCAACAACTGCTGAATGGAATTCCAAGACCACTGAAAAACTATATACAATGCCACCCCTTTCAATGCAGGTGGTTCTACACAGGGAGAAACACAAAAAGAAACTCTTTGGAGGAATATGAAAAGTGGAGAGAGAGAGATTGGATAGGCAATCAAAAGGTAGTTTTCCCGAGTGCTATAGCTCATGATGTAATCTCTGTACTTGGAAAATTGAGGCAGCAGAGTAGCTACATGATGGAAATCATTATGACCTGGGGGTGTCTTTCTGTATGCTGTGAATGTGTTGCTCTAATTTATTGATAAATAAAACACTGATTGGCCAGTAGTCAGGCAGGAAGTATAGGCAGGATAATGAGAGAGGAGAAGGCTGGGAAGTGGAAGGATGTCAGGAGACACTGCCAGCTGCCACCACCGTGAGAAGCAAGATGTAAAGTACTGGTAAGCCACAATCCATGTGGCAACTTACAGATTAATAGAAATGGGTTAATTTGAGATATAAGAACTAGATAACAATGAGCCTTCCATGGCCATACAGTTTATAAATAATATAACTCTCTGTGTGGTTACTTGGGTCTGAGTGGCTACAGGAGCCAGGTAGACACTGGAGAAAACTCCAGTTACAATAGTGAGATTAGGTCTTAAAATTGAAAAACAGAAGAAACTAACAAATAAAAGATATAAGTGACAAAATTAAAAATAACTTCACAATATAAAAATTAAAAGCCAAATAAAATGACAGTTTCATTTCTGTATATCTATAATCAACTGTAGAAAAATATGCTATATCTGATGAATATATTGGCTATTCTCTTCCTTCTTTGTTTAGTTCTTACCAAATGTCATTTTATTATGATAATTGATATTTAATCATGCTTTTAAAGATGTCTATAAATGTATTTTGTTCCTAAAGAGGGACTTCCTGGGAAAAGAAAAACAATGAAATTTCATGTGATTTAACATATACAATAAATAATCAGAGTAAATATAATCTTCTCCTGCTAAAGAATAAAAACTAAAATTTTAAGTTAAATTATTGTTTGGAAGTGCAGAATCAATTCTAAAAATGTAAATATGTCAATTTTTTTATGATTCCATGAATATGTTTCTTGGAATAACCAAAGGATTCAGGCTTGCAGATAAAATTAAATTAGAGGTAACACTGACAAAGAGAATTTACCCTGACTCACATTGTGCATAGATATGTCAGTGTGAGAAATATTTACTTCACTAGAATTTACTGAGATGTATGGTGACTCAAGAATTAGCAGGAACTTAGGTTTTAAGACTCTCTTCCAACTAATAGCCATAAAGGAAACATAGTCCAGTACTATCTAGACAGACAACTGAACAATGCAAAAAATCTAATGAGCAAGGAGGGGGGATTATATCCAAAAGATAGAGGAAATGCTCTGGGATGTTTTGGTTATAGCCTAGTGAGGCTCATACCAAAATTTATAAAGATCATAGATAAGTTGTTAGTTTGTGGTAATTTGTGACTACAACAGTAGAATATAGACACATTATTCCATCTCTATTTCATGTTTATATATTAAATTATAGCAGTTCTACATTATAAAATTAGCACATTTGTTTTATATAATTTTTATACTGCTGCAACACTCTGTATATAAAGCAAACTTTAACATCTGTGAATATTCAAATGATTTAAAGTATAATGGAAATCCATGACACTTTCTACTTACTTTCTTTGAATATAGGCTTGTTGTCATTAATATCTGACAGCGTAATTGATACCGTCGTTGTCCCAGACAAGGCTCCAGGCTGACCAAGCATGTCTCTGGCTTTAATAATCACACAGTATGTATCTTGTAACTCTCTATCCATTTTAGAAGATATTCTTATGACTCCTTTAAAAAAAGTAGCACAATTGCAATTATTATCACCCATAGCCTCTTTATAGACAACTTCTTTTTTTGTTTGGTTTTATTAACAAATTTTTTATTAGATCTTTGATATTTTTTTCAATATATTTTGATCATATTTATTCGTAGAAGTCCTTCAAATTCTTCTGGTTCCCCCTACCTCCATATTGCTCTCCACTTCTTGTCTTTTTCTTTTGTTTTTATTTATTTATTTTTGTAAGTTTTTTTTTAATTTTACATACCAACCCCATTTCCTAGCTAACTTCTTAAGCTTCCCTCATTCTGTTTTTAAGTTGTTTTTTTTTT